GCACACATATATATATATATATATATATATATATATATATATATATATATACACATACACACACACACACACACACACATACGTATACGTATACGTATGCGTATACGTATACATATACATATACATATACATATATATATATATATATATATGCACATATGCACCATGTGTATTATTCCTGGTGCCCATGAAGGCCCTAAGAGGGAGTCAGAGCCCCTGAACCTGGAGCTACAGGCAGTGAGTTATCAGACAGCACATAGGTGGCTGTGACCTGAATCTGTGTCCTCTGCAAGCCCAGTCAGTGCTCTCAACCACTAAGCTCTCCCTTCAGCCCCTACAGAAATCATTTTTATTTTAAAATTCCTATGAAACAAATCTTGCTGACTCAAACATCAGGTAAATATTTCTTCTCAAAAACCAAGTGAGTGACACTATGTTTGTAGGAAATTTATTAGGAGAGCCCTCCTCCTCCCCACACATATAAAGGGTAGGAGTCAGGGGTAGTTTTCCGTGTGTTACTGCTACTACTGAGGCAGCTGTGCAAGTAAACATTTACTTTAAATACCATGCTAGGTCTAAATCAATGTGGTTTCCTATTTTCTGACACAAATGAATAAAAAACATGAAGATTATGTATTAAAATGCAGGTTCTATGGGGCTGGAGAGATGGCTCAGTGGTTAAGAGCACTGGCTGCTTTTCCAAAAGACCCAGGTTCAATTCCAGGAGTTTCAAGGCAGTTCACAACTGTCTAACTCCAGCTCCAGGGGACTCAATACCCTCATATATATATATATGTGTGTGTGTGTGTGTGTGTGTGTGTGTGTGTGTATGTATATATATGTATATGTATACACACACACACACACAGACAAAACATCAATGCACATAAAATAAAAATTAGAATAGCACTTTTTTAAAAATGCAGGCTCTATATAGCTTAAAAGGAGAACCAGGAGTCCAAGGGGCAGCCTGGACTATATGAAATTCTATCTCCCAGAGAACTCAGTGGTGACTGAGGAGACAACTCAGTAGGTACAATGCTTGCATTTAAGTGTGCAGACCTAACCCAGCGCACATGTAAGAAAGCAGGTGTGGTGCAGGCACCTATGATCTCAGTGCTGGAGAGGTAGAAACATAAGATCAAGCTTAGGGCTCATGGCCAGCAAGCCTACTTAATGAGCTCTAGATCCAATTGAGATGCCCTGTCTCAAAAGGCAGCGTAGTGTAAGCACTATGGCTGGGAGTGGGGTTGGTAAAAGGCACTTGCTACCCAGCCTGAGGAACTGAGTATCATCTCCAAGACCTACATGATGGAAGGAGAGAACTACTCTCGCAAGTGGTCCTGTGACCTACACATGGACACAGTTGTTTGTGTGTGCCTTCATTCACAAACTCAAGCACACATATGCACACAAATAAAGAAATAAAATAAAATATATTCTTAAATCTCCTACAGGCACACCCAAACAGATACACACTCACATTAAGACAACTAGCATGTGCTGCCTAACTGTAATATATTTAATATGTTTACAGTACATCTTGCAATGCTAATTCTTGGTTAGAGTACAAAAGAATTATATAGACAACTTCACTAGCTTAGGTTTCTTGTTTTGAACACAATTATCACTTTGTTTAATTTTCCATGTGCAGGCTCTTGTCATAATTATAAATTATCATTAGATTTTAAATAAGTTTTAACAGCATGTGTGATTAAGTCATTAAAGCTGAAATTGCAATAAAGCATCCAGAACAAGGTAGCAGCATCCCTGGAAGAAACCTCGGACCTCAGGCTCCATGGAAAGGGATGTTCTTTTTAGTACACTACAAATGGAGGCAGATACTTACCTCTACAATATTCCATTAAGATAAGCACTTCCCATACATTATCACCAATTGAATTGACAGCACAGTCCAAATAACCAACAATATTTTTGTGGCCAGATAGCTCTTTCTGTGAAAAAGAAATAAAATCTTTAAAATTAGAAAATATAAATCTTAAACTTCTAAGAGTAACATCTGTAAGCTTAAGTAAGTCAGTTTAATAAATGTCTAAAAGCAGGAATAAGGTATGAGAACACAGTATTTCAGTCAGTGATTTTTATGGCTTCATCAAAAATTCAACACATATGTGACAGTCATTATCTAAGATGAATAACCAATGATCATTTGTTTATATGTTCAACCAGGAAAGTAACAAAAGCAATAATCTACTAAGGGCTGGTGACATGGCTCAGCCAGTGGAGGGAGACACTGATCACCAAGCCTTAGGACCTGAGTTCAATCCCCAGGACCAACGTGGCAGAAGGACAAAACCAAGCCTCCTAAGCTGCCCTGACCTCAACTCATGCTGCCCCATAGAACCACACAAAATAAACAAATAAGTCAGAACTAATCTACCAAAGTAAGTGTATAACATAGTTCTCTGAAATTCAAGAATAAAGTATTAGAATTCTCATAATATTTATCTTTAAAAAAAATAAAGGAATTGCTGGGAGGCAGAGGCAGTGGATCTCTGTGAGTTCAAAGCCAGCCTGCTTTACAGAGAGAGTTCCAGGACGGCCAAGGCTACACAGAGAAACACTGTCTTGAAAACCAAATGAAATACAACGTAAAATAAAAATAAAATAAAGGAATTAAGCTCTAATATTAATGAACTAGTTCCAAAGGTTTTCCTAAACATTATAATTTATGTAGAACTCTTCCATGAAATCACGGGTCCATGTACTTTTCACTAAAACTAAAAGAGGAACAAGTGGCCATAAAAACATTTGTGAAAAAGAACTCATAGACTATAGATACTACTAGTGCTGTGCTCACGTAAATAACAAAACGGAAAGTCTGGCAATGTTTCCTCCTAGTACACAGTCAGCAGCAGCATACTGAGGCTACGAAGAGGGCTGGAGACCACTCAGGTTCAGTGCTGCTTACCATGGATGAACATCCTACAGCTACATCAGTAATGCTATACCAAGTTTCCACTGTGCAAAATAGTTTAGTCAGAACTACTATATGCAAAACAGATGAACTCAGTGGGCGGCGGGTGGTCAAGCAACAGTTGAAGACACTAGTGCAAAGGCATGATCTCCCCACAATGCCTTGTTTAAAGGCAAAGACTTGACTGGAGCTGCTGCTAGTACCCTCTCCATGTCTCAGAAGTGGGCTAACCCTACTGAGTAAAGGAGCATGGCTCAGTTAGAGAATCTCTTAAGCATCACCTGTCAATAAAAAGCCTACAGCAGATGAGCTGAGGCAGGAGACAGATGGAGGGACACTGGCAGGAGGAGAGGGGAGGCAGGGAAACAATGAGACGCATGGAGATCTGCCTGGGAAAGCTGAGGAGATGGACATAAACCAGCAAGCAGCTGAACTCAGGGCAAAAGAAAGGTGCAAATCCGGGCTGGAATGCCACGGAAAAACAGATCTATACAGATCAGTGCATTATCAAGACACAAGTTAGGGAACTCAATCTAGGCTTCCTCATTCATTATCTTGAAGCAATTCTTTCTCAACCTGCTTGCTATTATCTTTAAAATGTCTCAAAACCTAATTGTCTCGAAACTACTAAGAGACAGAAACAATCGGAACTTAAAATTCCAGATCACATAAATACACTTATTTGTAAGTGTTGATAAAGAGGTTGATATAAAGAAGGAAATCCCCTTAGAGTGAGATATGTGGGACTGGCATTAACTACGGCTGTCTGTCAGTGAGGACTGCTGGGAAGAACATAAGCGGTTCAGTTGGTACACTAAGTCAGGCTGCTCGTCAAACATTTACAGAAGAACTGAGGCATATAAGCCAAGGCGAGAAACTACTCACAGACATGAATGCACATGTGCACAGCAGCAGCAGCAGCAGCTAGTCACACACGTGCACACAGCAGCAGCTAGTCACACACATGCACACAGCAGCAGCAGCTAGTCACACACATGCACACTGCAGCAGCAGCTAGTCACACACATGCACACAGCAGCAGCAGCAGCTAGTCACACACATGCACACAGCAGCAGCAGCCAGTCACACACATGCACACAGCAGCAGCAGCAGCTAGTCACACACATGCACACAGCACCAGCAGCAGCTAGTCACACACATGCACACAGCACCAGCAGCAGCTAGTCACACACATGCACACAGCAGCTGCAGCCAGTCACACACATGCACACAGCAGCAGCAGCTAGTCACACACATGCACACAGCAGCAGCAGCAGCTAGTCACACACATGCACACAGCAGCAGCAGCCAGTCACAGCAGTTAAAACACTATGAGCAGCTCAGATGCCTATCAGCTTTTCTATACATCCAAATAAACTGGGATGTTGACAGAATATCATGTGGTGACAGAAAGGAAATGAAGTACCGAGGAACATGACAATGTCTACGAACCTCACAGGCACTGAGGCAAGAAAAAAGAAAATCCATTGTACAGCCCCAGTTATCAGAAATATTCAGAGCAGAAGTCCCACGCAGACAGGGTGCTCTCTCTAGGGGCTGCATGAAGGGACCATGAAATGCACAGGAAAGGGGGCAGGGCTTTTCTTTTAGGGGTGATGAAAAGGTGTTGAAGCTACGGAGGTAGTGATTATACTGTACTATGAATGTGCTAAATCAGTTAATTTTCTAGTACCAGAATTCGAGCTTAAGAGAATTCACACGTGTGCAGGTGTATGCAGATAAGAACTGAGGAGGAGAGGGAAGAGAAGTGTGAACCAGAAGGCCCCAAGAACACTGAGATTCTTACTAGTCTACTAAAATATTTTTACTGTACAGGTATTTGGTAAGAGCTTCCCTTAATGACTGACAACTGGCTCCACACTGCAAAATTTACAGGAAAAACCAGGTAACAGCAGGATTGTTGAAAGAAAATGAAAAGCACAAATTGTTGTCTGTGAGTATAAGCACAAGATGAATGCAGAAAGTGTGGACAGCGAATACAGCCACCACCTTAAGGATGAGCATGAGAAAAACATGTCTGCATGAGACAAACAGCACCTAGACCAGCTGAGCAGGAAAGCAGAGGCGACTCATGGGATCTGGAAGACTGTATTTCTTACAGTGTCGGGTAGGTGAACTTGTGTATTACGTAATTCTGTAAAGTGTTTTATCCTCCCAGTACCACACAATTACTGTGAGTTTGAAAAGGCGAGGCAGGCACCCTGCCTGCTGCACACCCACACTGGGCAGTCTAGGAAAGGGTGACCTAGGCATTTAGGCTCACGTGTGACCAGCCACAATCAACTGCCAATTCCCACAGAACAGTTTTAACTGAATGACCTTTCAGGCTTTTCAAGTATATATAAAAAAACCAAAAGAAAAGGATTGTGACAGAATTTTCCCCTAATGAATAAGGATTTCAGGGGACCAATCACTGGGTTGAGGAGTAGGCGGGACTTACAGATCGGAGAGAGGAAGAGGGGAAGGAAGAAAGAGATATGATATGGGAGATATTTTGGAGGCCAAAATGTAGCTAACAAGATGCCCTGGTTTAGATGGCAGATTCCCCAGGATTTGCCATCAAAGGATTTATATTTAATATGGCTTACAAAATTAGGATGCTTGAGTTACCTGTTGATTCTGAACTAAATTTCACGGGGCGACTCAACTGGGTTCCAGAGAGATAGGTATGGAGGCAAAGCGTGGGTTTATAAGAAGTGCACCCTAAAAGGCCATGGGAATTTGGAAGCGTAGGGCTGGCGTGGCAGTGAGCCTCCAGTGAGAACTTAGTAAACTGGGTGGAGAGATTGTGGAGCGCTGGGTCAGACTCCAGAATTGCTTTTTTAATATTTCATGCTACAAAGGCTCCTAATTTCTAAAACAAAATTTTCTCACTTACCATAATTGTGATTTCCCTTTTACAAATGTTGAGGTCAGATGTGTTATTGACAAACATTCGCTTCAGTGCGCATCGGATTCCACTGTGAGTCCGCACCAGGAAAACAGTGGAGAATCCACCTATGAGAGGAAGCACCAATTAACTTAAAACAATCAGAAACTACCTTCAAAATTCTATACTATAATTTTAGTGGGCATGGTGACACATGCCTTTAATTCCAGCACTTGAGATGTAGAGACAAACGGATCTCTTGTCAGTTCAAGGCCAGACTGGACTACAAAGTGAGTTCAAGGGCATGAGCTACATAGTGAAAAAATTTGTTTTTAAATCACACACACACACACAATCATTTTGGAGCTAAATAACAGAAGGAAATAATCAAAGACTACATTCAAGACACACATAAGTACAGTAAGCAGCTTAATGATTGAGAGCCAATTGACCTCCTGCATCAATGAGGACAGTACTCACAGAGCCAGGTGCTTCTCAAATGAATCTGCTTCTCTTCAAAGGGCAAAAGACTAACACTCACTTTTCCACAGATACCTGTGACTCAGGATACACAAATGTCCTCACATAACTTGTTGCAATACTAATTATCACCCACCCATCTTGATGACAAGGCACGTCTGCTATTTAACACTCAATATAGCTAAGAGAAACAGTTGGCCTCTCCTACAACTGCAGGTATGAGCTTACTGTATCCTATGTCAATCTGGGATCTAATTTGCTTATCAGCAACTGACTTTAGGGCTGGGTTCTCACCAGCTCTAACTCATGGGTACAAGGTAGAGTCCACTGAGATGGCAGGGAATAACTTCCTGCCCAAATGACAGTGTGTGATGGAGAAGGCCCCCGCTCCTCCTCTTTCCTGCCTCACTGTAAAATGATGCTTACACTTGATGCAGATTATCTTTAACAATGATAATTGAAAAGAAAATGGCTCAGGACAGGTGGACCACTGAATTAGCCAATCTCCCTCCTGAACTCAAGTAAGATAGTAAATGCCTTCTTTACCTACACCAGTTACTGAGACACTCTCTTTACTGCATCTGACAAAGTTCTTCATTTGAAGTACATAGATAGTGCTATTAAAAATCAATTATTTTATCAAATCTAAGATAAGAGTCTCACATTAATTTTTTTAAGACTCATTTCTGGTATGGAACATTCTGTAACATGTTTTTCTTATAGGCATGTCAATTTTGTTAATACTATAAAGGCATGATTGTTAAACTTGTGCTATCGTCGGAAAATGTAAGATATAGACCTCACAGGAGAATAAGTGTACACTGGAGGAAGTATGTGTGACAATGAAAGTGACTGCTGTCTTTATTAACCCAGAGTACCCTCCCTTCACAGGTCTACACTCCAGAGAACAGCGTCCCTCTCTCAGAGCTCTTATGTGAAACAACTGCGTGTGACACTGAAATGAGGCATTCCCGCCACTGTCCCCACCTTCTGCTATATGCAGGCATGCACACACGCACACTCACACACTCACACTCACACACACACACACAAAACACACACACACAAAATGAGATCATACAATGAAATGATGGTAAGCTTTGGTAGATAATTCTACCTAGGTTTTAGAAGCTATTATACAAATACATGTGATTTTTGTTTGTTTGTTTGTTCTAATGAGTATTCCATGCATGTATGAGCGAGTTCTCCATTGGTAGTAGAAAGTACCATGGTGAATACTCCAAGTTGCTCACATATGCTGCAGTGAGAACAGAGGCTGGTTAAAAAGCAGAGTTGCAGAGGCAGCATCTGACACACTGAAGTAGTGAGTTGAGTGTGATATAATCAAGGTGGACAGGTGAGAAGTAACCAGGGCTCTGGGCCACTGACAGCTGGTCAAGTGGCCACCACAAATCCCTAGAGGAACATAAGGCACAATGTCTGTGCTGGCTAGCTTTATGTCAAGTTGACACAAGCTACAATCATCAGAGAAGAGGAACCCTCAATTGAGAAAATGTTTCCATAAGATCAGGCTGCGGGTAAGTCTACAGGCATTTTCTTAACTAGTGACTGATGGGGGAGGGCCCAGCCCAATTGTGGGTGGTGCCATCCTTCGGCTGGTGGTCCTAGGTTCTACAAGACAGCAAAGTACACAAATCATGAGGAGCAAGCCAGTAAGCACCCCCCCCCATGGCCTCGGCAACAGCTCCTGCCTCCAAGATAACTGCTCTGCTTGTGTTCCTGTCCTGACTTCCTTCAATGAGGGATTATGTTGTGAAAACATAACTTAAACATTTTTCTCCCCAAATTGCTTTTGATCATGGTGTTTCATCACCATAGTAACCTTAACTAAGCCAGTGTCCTTCTCTTCTAAGTTCTAAGGCAGCCATCTGTAACAGACAAAATTGTAAGTAAAGACCACTTCTAACAAGAAGCTTCCAGCTAAGAGACCACCTCCAGACACGGAGCTAAACCTGGGGTAACCAAGAGAACCACAACTCCAGGCTGGTGGCTGGGAGACAGGCGACACTCCACCAAGAAGGAGCTACACGCCTCGTTACACGCATGTGAGAGCAACGAAACAGTCTAACTCACAACCCTGAGATACAGGCTGGGAACCGAAATGTTGCCCAAGAGGTAACAGCAGAAAGTCAAGGGGAGGAGCAGCACAGCCTGAGTCAGGGAAGGACAAAGGCAGCTTCAGCCAGCCCGAACTGGGCAGAGAACCCAGAAACAACGCATGGCCATCCCTGACTAGGCTAAGTGAAAGGATATGCACAGAGCATACAGCCTTCCCTCGGTTCAGTACCTGCTAGTCCAGAGACTAATCCCAACAGAGTTTGCCTCTACTTTTGTCCAGTTTTCCCACAAAAACCTTAAACAGAGCAGTTCAGTGGCCTTTTCCTTTCTTGGAGACTCCTCAATCTCTCAGGAGTCTCTGTCTTTTCTTTAGTTTCTCACTATGTCTCAGTTTCTGTGTTCTATAAACAAAGCTTGCTTCCCCTTTGCATATTCTCACCAGAGTCGGCATTTTAGTTTTCATTGGCATTAACACAACATGGAGCCACTATCTTGGGATGACCTTTGGTAACCATTGAGTGTCCAGCACCATAAGACCATAGTTCGAGCAGAACTTGGCAAAAGGTCCATCATACCAACAAGCCCTGAACCATATGTATGTAAGGTCAGCCACCTTCTACAACGACCATTAGCAGAATGATACCACACCAGCAGCAACAACACGCTGGCACCTGTCCAGCCACCCCGCAGGACTTAACCAGTAGTTATTCTGTATACCATATCATGCACATACAGTGGTTTAATCTGTCACATAACAAAAGCCATTCAGGTAACTTGTGTCTTGGGGAGTGTGTTTGTTATTTCTCATGATGTTGTATTAAATGCTCTCCTGTTGCTGTACTGCTTTCTGGGACAACTTCCTTCTGACTGATTCTAGTTTTGTTTCTTCATACTGGGAAGTGAAATCCAACACTCTTAAGGGCTGGAACTTTTGTTTCTACAGAAAAGGTTCCCAAGCTAAGTCAGTAAAAGGAAAACACACTTCAAATTCAATGCTTTCAACAACATGCTAAAAGGTGGCTGAAACGTCTAGCTACAAGCAACTGAGCCAGATTTCTTGCACCCTCAGGAGACCTCCACTGCACTGAAAGTGTTGTCAACTTGACAGGAAATGTCTCTCAATTTGCTATTTCTCTCTGAAAGTCACCAGTCCAGACCTTAAGCATCTTTACCTCAGTTTGTCAGCCTCTTCCATGGCAGGTCCTTGGAATCTCTTCCTAAGACTTTTTCTTTCCTTTCAACCAGTAGGGGAGCATTACAGAATTTCCCCTCAATGTAAAAAAAAAAAAAGTATTTTCTCCTGGTTGTTTTTTCCACTTGGTCCACAAACTGTGTTTTCAAATAAAAAGGCTGTGTACTATGTCTATGAACATCAAGGAACAGCAAGAGCAAAGACACTGGTGTTTGCCTGCATCATAAAACTGAAGAAGGAAGAGCATAAACGTTGCCTTCAGAATCACTGTGGTGTAACATGTTAGGAGTTGTGCTGTTTGCTGAACATAATAACCTAAAGCAGGGGGACAGTGGGGGAGCTGTACTGACTTTGACACCTTTAAGATGCTTGGATATCATGTTTAAACATCAGGTAGATTTAAACTTGCTCAATTATTGGTTGACCACAAACATCTTAGATAATGTCATTTCTGGACAAGATATGTTTCAGCAATATTTTGTCTAAGCAACTCCATTCAATTCTAACACATGATCCACCCATAGTTGGGAAAAGCCTCACAATACTACTCTCATTCAAATAGCAGATTATGTTCTCGACTACTGGCTTGATTACAAATTATTAAATCAAAAAGGAGTCATGGAAAAGCCAAAAATTTGGAAGTCAGTACAAGATATCAGAAACATGCAATATAGTCAGTCATACTGCATAAATACTGGCATGTTCATACAGTTAGCCTTCCTTATTTATTGCATGAATTTTAGTTCTCACCACTTGCTATTTGTACCACACAGTATAGTTGGTACTATTTATTAATAGAGCATTTCATGGCATTTTAAACACGAAGCAGGATGCAAGCAAAATGAAAAACCTTTAAATTACTAAAACTGCTCAGTCTTCCCACAAAAGAAAGGAGGAATTTCTTGAATCCCTTGTTAAAACTAACATTTGCTAATTTCTTTGACACTCTCTACCTATACTTAAGAATGTTCTGAAGAAGTTCTCATTTAAAATTAGTTACATCTATATGGTGGGCATGGGGTACTCCCTGGAATACTTTTCACCTTTCTATGTTTCTACTATTGAGCTGCACTCTTAGCCCTTGTATTCAGACCGCATTTCATTACATAGTCCAAGCTGGCCACTATCTCTGAAGTGCTGGGATTACTGGTGCAAAAACTTCTGCCCAATTCTAACAGCTCTGAGGCTCTTTGCTTAGTCCATCCTTCCCAACTTAAGCTGGGGATCAGTGCCTGGTCTACTCCTCTCCGAGTGTTTCCCCTCTTGCCACCCAATCTCACCACCAGTACTGGGAAGCAGTTTTCCTAAGACAGCCACTCCTGCTGTCTATACACTAGAGACTTTCCTCAAGGGACCATCAGTCTCTTGTAACAGAGA